CCATCTGGTCCTGGTCTATATTAGTTAAGATTCTCCAAGGAAACAAGCAATATGTACCCATCATGCACCACACATTTCAGTCAATGATGGCCCACATGTGTGACAGAAGTCCCATGTGATTATAATAAAACTGGAAACCTATCAACTAGCGATGCCATAGCCATCTTAACATGGTGGGGAGTGGTGGTTCGCTGGTCGAGCATGTGCCTAGCATGTGCAAGGCCCTCTGAGGTTCAGTCCTCAGTATGCACACAGACTACATCAGAATGCATCACATCGCTCTCGTGTTTGTAGTGACAATGGAACAAAGAAACCCAGTACTCTGCCAGTTGTATAAAACATGCAGTTAGCTGGGCACAGGTGGCTCACGCCTGTAATCCTAGCTACTCTGGAGGTTGAGACTGAGAGGATTGCAGTTCCAGGCCAGTCTGCACAAATAGTTCTTGCGATCCCGTCTCCAAGATAACCAGAGCAAAATGGACTGGAGGTGTGGCTCGAGCAGTAGAGTGCCTGCTTTGCAAGTATGAAACCCTCATCTCAAACCCCAGTCCCACCCAAAAACACACACAGGTGCACACACACACAATTATGCATAGTGTGGAATAGTACATAAAAATAAAAAACTTTGTTACTGGCTTATGTGCTTATACTCTACTTTTGGTTTTTGTTTGTTTGTTTTGTAGAACTGGGGCTTGAACTCAGGGCCTTCACCTTGAGCCACTCCAACAGCCCTTTTTTGTGAAGGGTTTTTTTGAGATAGGGTCTCATGAACTATTTGCCTAGGCTGGCTTTGAACCATAATCCTCCTAATCTCTGCCTCCTGCATAGCTAGGATTACAGGCGTGAGCCACTGGCACCTGGCTTGATTGCTAGTTTTTAGTGTAATTCCTTCTACTGAGGCAAAACAGTTTGCTGTAGGATTACTGCGTTCCATCAGCAGCAGCCTCACCTTCCTCCCTGCAACCCGTTCACATCTGGTGTTATTGACAGAGCTCATCCACGTCTGCCACTTTTGTTTCTTGTGCTCCTTATGCTGGTGTCTTTTGTTGTTGCCCTTCTAGTCCTCCTTTCTGTTTTCTCTTCCGAGTATCTACAATGAGGCATTTAAATTTCTTCAATGATTGTCTCACGATACAGCCAGGCGCCTCTAGCATCTAGTCAGTGGTTCTGCAATGCTATTGCAGAAGGTGAGAGGATATCACCGGTGACGTCACAGTCATCCCGTGCTCTGACGCTCTCACCACAGGGAAACTGCGTACCCATGTCACCTTTATGTTTTTCAAAAATAGACTTTTTTTTAAAGTTTTTGGCTCACAGTAAATTTGAATAAAAAGTGAAGAGAATTCTCCTGTCTCCGTGATTCAGAACTGGCATGAGCATTCTGTCCCCAGGTGGTTGCAACTGTCACACATCCACCAGCATTGCTCTGTCACTACCGCCCAAAGTCCACAGCGCCCGCTAAGGCTCGCTGTCGGGGCTGAACGTCCTGTGGCTTTGACAAGCGTACGGTGTCATATGCCCGCTGTCGTGGGGTTACACAGGATAGCTTCAAAGCCCTAACGACCCTCTGTGTGCTGCCTTGTCACCCCTCCCTCTCCTGAGCCTGGTTAAAGCCTCTGATGTTTTGCTGTCTCTACAGTTTTCCCTTTTCTGAAATGTCACTCAACTGGAATCACTCAGAGGCTATTTGCCACTCGTGTAGATGTGTGATGGCATTACGTTGTTTTAATTCACATTTCCCTGATGACATATGCTGCCGAGTCTCTTTCCATAGGTGTATTTGCAATCTGAGTATCTTCTTTGGTAAGGTGTCTGCACAGTTCTTTTGCCCATTCTAAAATCAGGGGTTTTTTGTTGTTGTTTTGTTTTTTGTGGTACTGTGGCTTGAAGAACTCAAGGCCTACACCTTAAGCCACACCGCGAAGCCCTTGTTTGTGCTGGGTTTTTTCAAGATGGAGTCTCTAGGAACTATATCCCTGGGTGGCTTCGAACCTCAATCCTCCTAATCTCTGCCTCCTAAGTAGCTAGGATTACAGGCGAGAGCTACCTGTGCCTGGCTAAAAAGTCAGGATTTTTTTTAAATTGCTGAGTTTTAAGAGTTCTTTGTATATTTTAGGTAATGGTCCTTTATCAGATGTGTCTTTGGAAAACATTTTATGCCAGTCCATGACTTGTCTTCTCATTGCCTTGACAGTATCTTTCACAAAAAAGCTTTCAACTTTAGTAAATTCTAACTGATCAATTATTTCTTTCATGCCTTTGACATTGTATGTAAAAAAAGTTATTGACAGCCAGGCACCCATGGCTCACACCTGTAATCCTAGCTACTCAGGAGGATCTCAGTTTGAAGCCAGCCCAGGCAAATAGTTCTGCGAGACCCTATCTTGAAAATACCCTTCACAAGAAAGGGCTGGTGGAGTGGCTCAAGAAGAAGGTCCTGAGTTCAAGACCCAGTAGCAAAAAAAAAAAAAAGTCATTGACAAACCCCAAACCCAATTTGTATCTGGGCTTTCTCCTGTTTTCTCCTAGGGGTTCGAGGGCTTCTGTAGTTTTGTGTTCTACAGTTCTAGGGGTTCAGCTGTGTCGACTGTTGACATTTACAGTGACTCATTACGGTTTCGGGGACAGCTACCACATCTGTTACTCTTCTTTACGTGTACCACGTTCTCGTTTTGTCTCCCACTCTTTTTGCCTTTTGTAGTTTGGTTAACCATTTTATGTGATTTCATTTTTACTCCCTTCTGTTTCAAAGCATATCAGTTGCATTTCTTCCTTTTAAACTTTCCCTCTGGCTTAGAGGTTCTTTTCTATGTTTTGTGTTTTTTTAGGTTTATACGTCTTCTTCTACTAATCTGAGTCAACCCAAGTCACACTACGCTACTTCTCGCTAGTCCAAGACCCTTATAACAGAAATGATGGTGCCATTCCTCCCCCATCCCCTGTGTCATGGCCATTCATTTAACGTATCCCTCACTTCCAGTCATTGAGTACACTGTTACTATTACTATTTTGGACCAACTGGTATGTGTTAGATCAGTTAAGAACAGGAGCAGGGCTGGGGATACATCTCAGTGGTAGAGTGCATACTTGACAGGCACAAGGCCCTGGGTTTGAATCCAGCACCACACACGAAGCTGTTTTGTCACCATCTCTAATGCTCCTGTCTTCTTTGCATTGTTCCAAGCTTCTCTCCTTTCTCTCTGAAGAATTTCTTTTAATTTCTTGCACGGCAGGTTTATGCCTACAAATTCTTGGAATGTTTGTCTGTGAAGGTTCTCATTTCTCTTTCATTTTTTGAAGAATATTTTCACAAGATCAGGGCTTCTAGATTGCTGAGGGTTTTTCTCTCTTAACACTTTAAGTCTTTCACTCAACTCTCCTCTTGCTTGCATAGCCTCTGAGAAGTCTGATACAATTCTTATCCTTGCTAGGTGTGGTGTTTTCTTCTCTGGGAGGTTTACTCGTTATCTTTGACTCCTCCAGCTAGAATATATATGCCTAGGTGTAGGCTTGGTGTGGGGGCATCTGTCTCAGGTGGCATTCTGGAACTACCTGAAATCAGTGGTCTAATTCTGGGAAATTGCTAGTCATTATTATTCACATATTTCTTCTGTCTTCTTCTTCCTTCTGTATTGCTATTAAAACATATGTGGCTCCTTTTGTCATTGTCCCACTCTTCTTAGATACTCTGTTCTCTTTGCTTTTGAGTTTGGGAAGTTTCTATTTACACATCTTCAGCTCCACTAATTTGTTGCTCAGCTATGTTCAGTCTACTAAAAGCCCATCAAAGCACATTCTTCCTTTCTGTTATATTGTGTATGTGTGTGTGTGGGGGGGTACTGGGATTTGGACTCTGGGCTTCATGCAGCGAGACAGGTGCTCTACTGTGTAAGCATCATCTCCAGTCCTAGTTGTTTTTGAGATAGGGTGTCACTTTTGCCTGAGCTGATCTGAACTGGGATTCTCCTGTTTATACTTGCTGCTGTAGCTAGGATGACAGGCAGGCAGCCCCACATTTTTTCTGTTAGGATGGGATCTTTTGAGCCTTTTTTGCTTGGTCTGGCTTTGAATCTGATCTTCCTGATCTGATCTCAGCCTCCCAAGTAGCTAGGGTTACAGGCTTGAGTCACTGTGCCCAGTTTATTACAGGATTTTTAGGACTGGATGTGTGGCTCAAGCAGTAGAGCGCCTGCTTTGCAAGCGTGAAGCCCTGAGTTCAAACCCAAGTCCCACAAAAAGAAAAAAAAAGGATATTTAATTTATTGTATTTCATCCTCATTAGTTAGCTTCTGGTTACTATAAAGAAATACAGGATTATATAGTAACCCATTTCCTCCCCTAGGTGTTAAGCCCCTAGGGGAGCTCCTTCAGGGGGGACATAGCTATGCCAGTCACTCTAAGGTGACAATAGTCTTCTTCCCTTTCCCTTTCCTTGAGCACACCTCGCTATTAACTCTAGCTGATTATAAAACTGTTTTCAACAATTGAGGGGACATAAATTGATGGAGTTTATACCCCCTGTGCAGGAAGAGTTACGACGCCCCAGTCAGATATTTAATCTGACAACATTACCCCTGCCCTCTTCCCCAGCACTGGGCCCTTGGTCCCCTGGGTCTGGGATGGGTGTTTTATAGTATTTGTAAGCATTTCAGCAGAACAATAAAGCATGTGGACTTTTTAAATGTGTGGAATGGCAGGATGTGTGGGGGTATCAGCTGGGTACTTGAGGCAGCAGGGCTTAGTCTTCCTCACAGAGCAGGATTTATACCCTGGACCTGATGCTCTGTGAACAGAGATCAGCTGGGGGGGAGGGCAGGCGGAGGACCAGGAGAAGGGAGTGGAAGAGCCCCAGCCACCAAGGAGCCCAGGCCGGCTCCTCCCCGTGCAGGTGGCTTACAGGTGACCACAGTGAGTCTACAGGGGCTCATGTCAGTTGTGGACGACAGCAGAGCCCAGGAGGTCCCTACAGGGTGTGGCCAGCTCACCCCAGGGCCCACTCACCTGAACTTCATACTCCCCTCCACCACCTGGCTGTCCACCATCGCTGATGTCATACTGGGGACAAGAGAACAGGCTGTATGTCAAGCATTGCCCCCCAAGCCCACCACCTCAGTCCCAGGGGCAACAAGCCAGGGGAGCCCTGGGAGGAAGATGCTCTGGCTTGTAGCTCTGGTCTCTGCAGTGCCCCACAATGGCCACTGGGTGTCGCCACTGTCCTAGCTGGGCTGGCCTGGGCCTGGCAGAGCCTGACCCTTCCCCACCTCACCTTGGGGAGGAGGCCCTGGTGGGACAGAGGGACAGCACTGCCAGCTCACCTTCTCATACATGACTGACTTTTGGGTGTAGACGTCAAAGTTGGTTCTGATCCAATTCTGGGCCAGCTGAAAAGCTACTTCCTGGGTGCCGGGGGAAGCTGACTTGGCCAAGCCTAGACCCCACCCCAGAGAAGACTTGCAATTTCAGAACCAGCATCCCAGGCAGAGCAGAGGCCCGGGCCTTTCTCTACCCAGGGTGGGGAAGAGGCTGGGTCTTCCTGTCCTCATGGTGGTCTGGACCCATGGGCCTTCATCCAGGGACTAGGTGTAGAGGAAGGGAGGGAGATGGTGCCACTGGACAGGTGGAGAGGACGTGTTTGCTGAGGGGGAGGCCAGGAGAGCAGAGAAGCCAGGAAAAGGCTGAGGGCCCTGCATCCTTTGTCCGTGTCTCCCCAGAACCTGGGCACTGACCCCCACACCCTGGGGCCAGGCCCTGGTGCCTCGTGCCTGCCTCCCTACCTCTGACGATCAAGTCCTGCAAGGGAGCCCAGGCATTGGGGAAGTCCCACTGCTGGCCTGTGTTGGAGAGAGAGGTCGGGATCCCATGCTGGTAGGTCAGGATCTTGCTGTCCTAGAAGTTTCCAGGCACTGTGGTGACTGCGAGTGCCAGCCAGATGTGCCCTTCCTGGCCCTTCTCAGCTGCCCCTCTGTGGCCCCAGTGGGACCTGCAGGCTAAGTCAGGCACAGACAGCAGGGAGTGGCTGCCCCTGCCAAGTCCCTGCTCAGTCAGGAAGGGCCAGTCTTGCCTCCAGGGGGGCAGATGTGTCCCTGTCCCCTCACCTCCAGGTATTGCAGAGCCTTGTCCACGACACCAGGGTCAGAGAAGCATCCGGCCCAAAGTGGGGTGAGGTTGGATGGGTAAAACTCCAGGTTTTTCTTCCCGTTCTCAATGTCATAGTCGAACCAGGCGCCTTTCTGCTCATCCCAAAGTATGGCCTTCATGGCAGCCAAGCGCTGTGCCCGCAAGTTTCTGTACTTGGTGGCCTGGGAGTCCTTCCCTGGTGGTCACTGGCTTCAGTCTGAGCGGGTAGGGGGGCTCTGTCCTTTGGTCCCCAATAATAACTCCCGAGAAAGAACTGAGGACAGCAGGGGAGCATGGCTTCTAAGACATCATCTCCTCCAGGCAGTCGCCCAGCTCCAGACAAACCTGGCCTGTCCTTCTCCTCAGGCAGCTGCGCTGCCCTCTGAACGCTGGGGAGAGGTTCCTGTCCTCCTGGCTTCTCCCTGCCCGAGCTGCAGGCCAGCCTCTGTCTCAGGGACAGTAACTGTGCTGCCTGTGGTGAGCAGTGCTCAGCTCAGACCCTAGGACTTACCTCCTTTCTCTGAGACCCAGAGAGGCTGGTGGTTTGCCCCAGGCTGCCCAGGACCACCGAGCTCTCTCCTAATGCTTGGCCCAGGGCCTGGCACTCCCTGGCTCCCAGAGCTGCTCAGGGCTCCTCTGCAGCTGGCTGCCTTCCTCACCAGCCCCAGGGCCAGGTGGGACGTCACCAAGCCCCGTTCTGCTGCCGCCCTAAAGCTTCCCACAAAAATCACATGCATCTAGAACTTGCCAGAATGGTAGAGGGAGGACCCAATGGCACTGCACAAGCTCCTGCCCTGGGTCTCCCTCAGTCATGTCCCTTCACGTTCACTGCACCTGGGAAAAGTGTGGTGGTTTTGCCCAGTGGGGCAGAGCTTTGGGGGTGGTGACAGTGGGGCCTAATTAAGCAGTAGGATCTGAGTGTAGGGGAAGGCTGGGGTAGCCATGTGTCATCCACTGGCTATGGCCTAGTGGTCATGGTTGCCTGTGTGGTGCCAAGATGAGTGGCTCTGGCTTCTATTCACTGTCATGTTAAGCATGATCCCCAGAGGATGGTTGCCAAGGGTTGAGGACACCGAGACTCCCAGCAGCCAGGCCGTCAGCACACGGCTGAGAGGAGCAGAACTGGACTTCCAGCAGGTCTGGCACCTCTGCCATTGCTGCCAGGGGTGGGCAGTGGGGGAGGGGAGTGATGCAAAGTCTGGGCATGCTGGTGGAAGCCAATGCTGGCAGGTGTCCTGAGCAGAGCCAGGCATGCAGATGTTGTGTTCCTGGGAACGGGGCAAGGCCTGGCGTGTGTGTGTGTGTGTTGGGGTCTCATAAGAGGCTAGTGATAAACATGGCAGAGAGAATAAGGAGGGTCCTTTTTCCAGACTTGCCAACAGAAGTAATAAGAAACATGTGACAAAACACACCCTGCTGAGGTGGCCTTACCATGACTCAGGACAAAGTCCGCTCATTGATTCAGAAACTTCCTCTATCTTCATACTCCACAACTGATCATCATGATACAGTCACCGATAAACAGAAAATCCAGGTTCTTACATCCCATGTGGGTGCAACAGGCAGGATAGGATGTGTAGACATAGCAAGCGTGATCATAACAGTTTCCTAGAGGTTAGGGAAAGAGTTACAAACAACCATGATAGGCCAGGTGTGAGGTGGAAGCAGAGAGAGCTCTTTCTGTATTCAGGTGCTTTGAAAACCTGTGCTAACCTATGGGTTTGAACTCAGGGCCTTCTCCTTGAGCCATTCTACCAGCCCTATTTTTGTGAAGGTTTTTTTCAAGATAGGGTCTTGTGGAACTATTTGGCCAGGCTGGCTTCAAACCGATATCCTCCTGATCTCTGCCTCCTGAGTAGCTAGGATTACAGGCGTGAGTCACCCTGGGTGATTCCACCAATAATTGATGGATGGTCCCTGGGCTAGGATGGTTTGAGTTATCCCTGTTTGGGTTTGAATAATCTGCACATACTTGCAATTGAAAAGAAGGCTCAGAGACAGGGAGGAAAATGCTCAATCTGAAATACAATACTATCTTAGCCTGCCTCCATCACAAGTGTTAATAGCTTGATCTTCAAAATATGTCCCCATTGAACTGCTTGGCACCATCCCCAGTCCTACCAATGGAGCATGAGCCCTGGTCTCCTCTTCCCTGGAGCCCCCTCTTGCCCTGAGCTGTTCCTGATGCAGTCAGTGAGAAGACTTCCAAATTTTTTGTCCCACCAGTAAGAATGCTTGGCAGGGAGTTTATTAAATGTTAGGGAAGGGAAATACAAAGGGAGCATGGTGAGTGCAGGTGGAATCTGCCAGCAGAGAGAGCGTGCTTTTCTTTTTAAGGTACTTTTAAAATTTATGCTAATCTATGGGAAGGGAGGAATCAGGAGATTCCCATCCCATAACCAGTGAGCAGGGAGGGGCATAGGCAGTTCCAGCCAGGTGAGGGTGGTCTGGGTCTTCCCTGGCCAACCTACATATGAGTCCCGAACTTTCCCTACTTATAGCTTGCCTCATTCCTCCCTCTGTCCCAGCCCTGTGGGCCTTCCTGACCTGTGATAGGTGCCTCAGGGCCTTTGCACTGCACCTTCTGTGCAGGGCTGTCCTCTCCCTGCCTGCTCAGGGATGGCTCCTTGCATGATGCTGCTGCTGAGACAGGCCCTCATCCTCTCCAACACCCTCTGCTCCCCTCTGAGCAGTTTCCAGTTTAGCTGTGCCGGGAGCCATGTTTCCACAACCTGCGTAAAGCAGGAGGATGGGCTCACTCATCCCCGTGTTTGGTGATGGAAGCAGAGGCTCAGGAAGGGGGTTTGACTCACTCTAGGGTGCAGAGAGAGCACCAGGTCAGGGCTTGACCCCAGGGGCTCATGACAGGCCCTTAGGCCTCAGTCCCACCCAGGCCTGGGAAACCGGGCAGAGAGCTTTCTAGAACAATTGAGAGACCGGCAGTGCTCAGTCAAGGAGCAGCTTGGAGGGCAGGATCAGCTAGCGGGCTCCTGGGTGGTACAGAGGCAGCCTCAGGCAGCACCACTGGTTCTGGGCTGGATATTCAGTTTCCAAGGGGGCCAACTATAAAAAGAAACAGGGCCACATGTCATTAAAGGCTGAGCCTTAGTCTTACAGAGAACTTCACTAGAGTGATGTTGACTTCGTGGTAGAAAAGGCCAGGATGCTGAGTGGACCTTCCTGGAGGTCCAGTCCCTACTCTGGGCTGTCCCAGAAGTGACCACAGGGAGTAAAGGGCAGGGCCTGGGGGACAGGGGTGTAAGGAGACCAGAGGAGAGAAGGAGTCTGGAGCATGGGGACAGGCTGAGTGCAGACACCTGGGGCTTGCTTCTCAGCAGCCTGGGCACCTGCCTGTGCTCCTCCCAAAGCAGGGCCTCCCACTTGGCCAAGGCCCGGAGCAAGGCAAAGAAGACACAACTACCCCTCTCTCCCTCCCTACTCCTCTGCTCAAACCACAGCCACCTGTGAATCAAAAAAAAAAAAAAAAAAGCAAAAAAACAAAACTCTCTTTTAAAAAAAAGGTAGCCCTAGTTGCCTGAAAGACCTGCATGGTCGGGCTGGGCTGAGTCCCCAGAGCTGCCCGCACATGCAGCGAAGACTCACGTTCTCAGCATTTGTTTCTGCATTTCTGCACATGGTAGCAATTTTTGCAGAAAGGGCGTGGGGGCTGCATCTGAGCCAGGCTCCAGCCTGTTGCAGCTGCCTCTGCCCCCTCTATCTGCCTGGCCTCTTGTTCGCACCTCAACCACTGTGGCTTCCTGTCTCCCTCGTGGGAACAGGGTACAGGGCCAGGGCTGTCACCATGCCCACGATCCTGGACATCTCCCTGCAGTCTGTATTAGCAGTTATATGTCACCTGGTGACTCAAGTCAAGTCACATTGCCTTTCTCCCACACAGCCCCTGAGTCTCAGGTGTTTGTAAATCTCCAGGAGAGACATTTGAAATCAGAACTAGGTCCCCAGAGCTCTGGAGGAAGATTATCCCAGGCTGTGCGCCCTTGGGCAAGTCTCTCACCCTTCTAGGTCATTTTAGAGGAATCAAGGCTTCTCCATCATCAATCAGGTTGGGAACACTAATTCTGATCATGCAAATATGCAAAATATGTCAGGATAAAGAAGCCAACAGTAATGGGGTGATGAGTGGTGGGGGCCCTGTCCTGGGGGTAAAGGGGACTGGGGTGACCTGGAAGCCCATTCCTGTGTCATGAGGACCTCAGTTGCTGAGGACTTCCTTATTTGCAGAAGTTCCTGATTTGTTGGGGGAAAGTGAAAATACACATTTCTTTCTTTTTAAAAAAAATTTTGAGGGGCCGGTACTGGGTTTGAACTCAGGGCCTTTTGCTTACTAGGCAGCTGCTCTACCACACCCTCAACTCTTTTATCTTCAGGTATTTTTTGGATAGTGTCTCGAGTATTTCCCCAGGCCTAGCTTGGACTTCCATCCTCCTAGCATTGCCTGCAGAGTAGCTGGGATCACAGGCTCATATCACCATGTCTAGTTTGTTTTGTTAAGTTGGGATTTTGCTAACTTTTTTGCCCAGGCTGGCTTTGAACTTTGCTCCTCACAACCTCTGTCTGCCTCTCCAGCAGCTGCGATTACAAGGTGTGAGTCACTGCACCCAGTTGGAAATTACCCACTTCTAAGGGTAATCTTACCATGTTTCATTCAAGGTTAAATCCTGACTGTAAACTGGAGAGTGATTCTTGTGCATGTGGGAGATTAGAAGAGGTCTGACCTCCACCAGCCGGGCCCAGTGGGCTGAGTCTCCTCTCCCTGCAGCAAACAGGATGTGCCCTTGAACCCAGCTTCCACGTCAA